AAGAAACTTTTCTCCCCTGGGAAAAGTAGATGAGATCCAGAATGCAGAAAAACACCTCAGAAAATACTTACCTAGTAGCAATATCAGTCTAAAGAACTGGATCAGAAAAAACTGTCCAATCAGTTTCTCACAGAAACAGTTAAGGTATGGATTGATTACCTGTTCTAAGAAGATTTTTGTGCCCCTAAGAGCTAACATAAAAAAACTAGAAACAACCTTTAGTGTATATTGTAACTTAAACGTTATAACTTCACATCAACTAATTAAGAGAGATAAGTGAAGAAAACAGATTAACAGTCCTTAAAAAAAGCATCAAGGTAAATTATAGTAAACTATATGACAAAATAGAACTGGCTGAACCACGAATCCACACTCAATAGGCAACATATAAGTTTCTATCACTGTTCTAAGTTTCTTGAAGACTACAGTTACTGGTATATTAAAAATCAGTATCAACTTACCAAATGTAACTTTAGAGTAGCCACATTATACCTGACAGGAACTGTGCCAGTTAGAGAAAAATAATTATGATGTATGATGATGATAAGTGAAGCCTGCAATTTGATTTTATCTGGAGTAGCTATTGAAAGCCCATACAAAAAGAGTATCTTCTGTACCCACTGGGACAGGAGAAGCAAAATAGTTTATTTTTCAAAAACTGAGAAGAGTAGTTAACATTTTCCAGTGAAAATCTATACTCAACAAACATGAAACTTAATGGTGATGTGAAATTATTTATGCTAACAACATCTGTTTTGGTTTGACTTCTCCATATATAAGGTCTTTTAAAATATTTTATATTATTTCTTTCTTATATGTTATCAATCATAATGGGTATAATAAATGACCTAATAACATGAAATGTAAGTTTCCTGTCAAGAAACAGGTATCTTCATTTTAAAATCTATTGGTATCACAATGTTAGTGGCATTTATTAGAAACAGCTTGACTTAAATAAGAAATTACAGACTTAAACAGTAAGATAAACACATGCTTTGTCTAGTAAAACCATCACCAGTTTGAATATATTAATCACCACTAAAGAAAGAGAATGTCCTGCTAATAAATGGTTTACTGACATGGACACACAGAAAAAGAGGGTGGAGCATGAAAGAAAACACAATCAGCCTAGCAAGAAAAAAGGAGCTCTGGCCAAAAGAAATCAAGCTTCCTCCTTTCTTGTGAGAATATCTAAAGCATGTGATTTGGAAACAGTTCACACTTTGAATATACCAGACCAATCTCTTTTTTTTCCTGATTAAATGTTGCTGAAATTGAGTTTGATATTTATCTAAATAAAGCTAGGGTTTCTAAGTATCATCTATGAAGCCAAGCAATTTTGGATAAAATTAACCCTGACAGTAATATGCAGAAAGTGTTTTCAATTGGAGTAATAGGAAGATTCTATAATCAGAGGTAATAAAAAGTAGTCACCCTAACATGATAGGTTCCCCTATTCCAAACATTTTATTCTTTTTTTTAACATTTTTTATTGATTTATAATCCTTTTACAATGTTGTGTCAAATTCCAGTGTTCAGCACAATTTTTCAGTCATTCATGGACATATACACACTTGTCACATTTTTTTCTCTGTGATTTATCATAACATTTTGTGTATATTTCCCTGTGCTATACAGTGTAATCTTGTTTATCCAAACATTTTATTCTTGAAATGAGTCTTTTAGCCACTGAGAAACTGATATTTTCAGAGACAAAAGAACATATCAGGGTCAAGTTCCTATTACCATATACCACACCTAGAGGACATTTAGTATTAAGAGTAATCTGACCACCACAGAAATCTAAAGGCATGAGTATATTTAACTAGACTCTTTGAAGAATCCATAAACATCCAAAAGCTGGTTAAAATATTGATTTAAAAACTTACTGAAATGATCAGGTGATCCCAGAGTTGAAAACACACAAGTTAAGAACTGAAGTCGTACTTGAACTTCGGCACTATGGCTGTACCTATATTTAAAAAGTCATTAAAATAATTAACTGAGAGATCTTATTTTTTTAAATTACTTTTAAAGATTTAAAGTCCCTAATATTAAATTATACCAAATACATAAAATTTCATTTAATAATTCATAATTAACATGTTAACTACATAACTTTGGTTACACACACAAAATGCCATAAAGCCAAATGTGGTTAAGATTTATGTTATTTAATATTATAAAAATCTGTAAACTATTAGAGCACATACTTTCAAGTTAGATAAAGTAGATAAGAACTAAACACTAGAACAAAGAAATAAGTCATTTAAAAATTATGCAGTATGTACATAAGTTAGAATACTTAATAAAAACTACATTTCCTCTTACAAATTGCATATTTCATTACCACTGTCTCTCCAGTGGTAATACTCTATTTCTTCAACAGGAAACATTAATAAAATATCTCTTCATAAAGAATACAGCTGATACCAAATTCGCATTTTTAAATGTTATTTCAAATCTAAGTAATTGTAATTCATGTGTACAAAGTGCAAAGGATACTCTAAGAGTTGCCTTGGAAGCTTGTTAAGTAGGTGATTTCACATGGTTCTTTGGGAATTCAGTTTGCAGGAATATGCGAAGGAACAGCATTTTAAGAAGTAAGCGTTGGTCTGTGGTGTAGGAAGGGTAGGAGATGAGTCTGAAAAGGTAGACCGGGGCCAACCTGTGGCCAGTCTGAATGTCAGACAGTAGAGTTTACTATTGTTCTGGATGGAAAAGGAAGTCAATGACAGATGTTGGAGGAGAGAAAAGGGGCAATGATCAGGTTGGCATTTTAGGATTCTTTTAGCAACTGTGAACTGCATATTGAACTGTGTCTGTGATATCCCAACATTCTAGTTCCCTCAAGCACCTGAACACCCCAATCAATGAGACTAAGTCAATCATGAGATCTTATCTATGTTACAAATCAAAAGGCGGGTAGTGGATGAATTGCCCAAATTATTTTGCCAGCAAAAGGAAGCAGCCAGTCTGAGCCTTGATTTATATATTCCAGTTTGCAAAGAGTCAAAGAGCCTCTTAATTCAATTCCTTAAAATCTTTAAGGTAAAGAATAAAATTTTAAACACTTCCCAAAATTAGCTGTTTCAAAAATTACACTAGATTTGCTATTAAAGTTAAAAGTTAAGATTTTCTAAAGATTACATTTGCTGGATATATCTTTGCTTCCCTTTACTGTCTCATATTAACACTGGCAAAGAAAAGATGAACTTCTGCCTCATTACTGCTGCAGTATCTATGAAGATAAAAGTACTTGTGGCAAGGTGACTGGGAGTGCAAGAGAGGGGAATACAGTAAGCAACTCATAGACTAGAAGGCTATCTAGATAAAATTCAAGACCAACTCTTAATAGTTCTCAATCTTTTACTAAAAGGACAGAGATATTGTAGCAGAAACTTTGGAGTACAGGTTCAAATGCAAGTTCTATCATACATCAGTTCTGTGATTTTAAGTTATTGCACTTCTCTGAGCCCAAGTATAGGGAATGTTGGTTACAGACAAAAAGGGAATAATGTCTTGTCCTTTACAAAGTACCTTTACTTCCTGAATACTTCCTTCCCCTATACTTATATCTCCGAGTAAGGGACCTAGAATCCTAGAAGGCATGGATCCAGTTCCTTTGTCCTCCCTTCTTCAGCTTCCACAGTACTGCCACTGTCTCCACACTTCAGAGGACTCTGCCTTTGTCAGAATCACACTGGCTGCTGAAATCACCAGCCAGGAAGTCTCCTGGGGTGCAAATCAACAGTGTTATCAGTACCGATAAATTCTCCTGGGCTTGTCCATGGCTCCCAACATTGCAGAAAATATAGAATAAAAATAATCTCCCTATAGGCATAAAACTTTAGTGACAAACTAACACTTAAAAAAAAATCATTCTCTTTGTAGCTTCAATGTTAACACAGGATTTTTCTCTAGCAGCCACTGGATTCAAGAAATGTGTTAACACATCCATTTATGAAATGAAGTGTTTCACAAGAGTGCCACAAGAATCTTCTTGTCCTAGGTGAAAATCTTAGAACTTTCCCTGCTATAATCTCCACTGAACGAATAGAAAGTAATGTGCCACAAACTAATGAAGTCTGCATGCTTTAACAAAGAGCTACAAATGTACAAATGTTTTATAGCCTGACAAACAAGGGAATTATACTGAAACAGTCCAGACAACAACTCTCTGTTCTAAGATTTTATTCCCCTAAAATGTCAGAGAACAAGGCAGATTGGAGGATTGGAAGGATACTCTTGTGTACCCTAGAAAAGCAGAAAACTCATCTCCAAAGATCACATTTTTTTTTTTACCGCAGAAACAATGCTTTTATCAGGCTCTACCTCTGGCTCCACTAAAAGTGACCAACTTCCCTGTAGCCGAAGCTGTGAACAATCAAGTTTCATATCTGCGTTCATTTTTGGCACTTAATGCTGGGCTTTCTGTTTCTGAGGATGGCTCATCTATGTCTTCCACTCCCCTCTGTTAAGCTCCCATTCCTGCTCTTCAAGCACACAAGTTGTGGCTCTGGTGGGAGCTCTTTTATAACTTAAGTGTTTTCTGCTGACAGGTAATTTGAATTCTGCCTCCTAAACATGGTGGTCATGTGTGGTTTTTATTTTTGCTCCTTGCTGATCTTAAAGCTTTTATAGAGTATGTATGGAGTTGCTCAGATTCAGGTCACGATTATCCTCACCACTGCTTCAAGAATAATAATTAAAGGAGGACAGACTATGAACAACACTTAGAATTTCAGTAAGATTTAAAGAGAATGCATCTCGTATAGAGCTAATTTTGTAAGCAAAGCTATGAAACAGAGTAAATTTAAGAAAATCTCAAAAATAATTTGACAGGCTTGAAAACAGGATGTTTAAAAAAAAATCATTGAACAAAAAACAGGAAAGTTTAGTTTAGATTTTAGAGAGCCCAGAATACTAGACTGAAGAAACTGGAATTTATTTTTCATGCAGTTTCTTGTTTGTTTTATACCACAGTTTGCTTTAGCCAGGTACCTACAATTTATAGATCATCTATTATGTGCCAGATACAGCTTATTAATTTAATTCTTGAGTTATTTATCATCTCAAGTTTAAATGTTCTCATTTTTAAAATAAGACTTCCTACCTCGAATGAACTGTTCTGTATCTTGAAGTTAGTAATACTTAAAAGGTATCTGGCACATAGTAAGGATCAATGAACACTGGCTGTTTTTATCACCATCACCATCATCATCATCATCACTATTTATGTTTGGAAATAAAAGTATACCAAAAAGGCCCCAAATCTCCAAGTTTTAGGTGACTAGGAGGATGGTGGTACTCTGAAGAGCACAGTAAAATCTGGAGAAAGAGCTAATTTGTGGTTGAAGATAAATGAATCCATTTTTGGAGATGAGTAGTATGCCTTAGAAGTCTACAACTTTTCTGAACACTTCTAAAGTCTGATCAGTTCTGATCTATATGAAAGTTTTCTATGTGGACGTTTTCTCAATAAATACTGTGGCTACTTCTCTTATTCATTGACGTGCGCTGATACTGACCCTGAGTTGCTTTTCTTGAATTGACTACCAGCTTCCACTAACTGACTCACAAGCAGAAACTCTCTGATTTCTACATGTTTCCTTTTTGGTAAGCATCTCTCTATAAGAAGCTTTAAACACAGCCATAACACTAGCCAATTTCTACCAACTCTTATCTAGACTCACTTCAAAATATCGAGAATATTTTTAACGATGAAATATTAGCCAGTTATAATATCACAGTTTTTAAAGTTTTCACAAATCCTGAACTTTCTAATGTAAGTATCCAATTATAATAATAAAGGAAAGTGTTTTAAAATAATTCTCTGTTAAATCTACTTGTATGGAAGTAAATATTTCAGAAGTTTTAGAATCCATGAGTAATACATTAATAAAAGGATATTTTGGTGATTTCTGAAAAAAATATTTACTTTTGATTCATGAAAGCAATGACTCTGAACTAAACAGTGAAGTAAGTCAGAAAGTAACACATTATATAAACTGACTATACTTCAATTAAAAAAAATAAGTGAAGGTTAATCAACAAAGTTATATAACCTACATTTCCCTAAGAATTATCAAAATAACCTTATAAAATTCTTCAACTTAAAGAGAATTTCTTTCTCTTAAAAATTATGTAAGTAAAATTTTCATTACATTTATTTACTATACGAAAGAAAAAGAGTAGGAACACTGTACAATTATCTTCCACAGGAAAGACAATCAACACACATAACTTTGCTAGTTAAGGAATACTTACAGTGCATGCTTTTGTCTTCCTTCTCTTACAGCTTGAATATAGTATACCAAATTATCAAAGAAAAGCTTCATCATGTTCAGTTCTTTTTCTGCCCACCTTGCCAATTGAAAGAAAAAATAATTTTAAAGGGTCAGAGAATAAATTTATTTTAGGATAGGGGAAAAAACTATCTTAAAAAATCTTCAAAAGCAAAGTCTCTCTCAATTATCAAAAACTTCTAAGTTCTATTTATAATTAAATTGTGAAAAAGGTATAAAGCAATGCACCTTAATTTTGATGAAGTTAAAGTACTATTGTTTTTTAACTCTCAAAATAATCTCTGTGAAGGGGATAAAAATGTCTGGCAGAATGCCAATTATAAATGACTAATTTGAATTAATATTAAAAAACAGTATGATACAGTCCATGTAAGGATGGACTGTGTGCCTTGTTCATTGTTTAGCAGAGTGCCTAGCAGAACACATACAACATGAACTAACCGAGTGAATCAGTTGGGTTTTTTATGGTAAATAATTTGCTGTTTTAAATAATTTTTTAAGCAAAGAAATATTCAGGTATTAAGCTCCAACACACACTAGAATAAAAAAAGAAATAATGAATGATAAAAATAATCAGAGATGCCAGGGTCCATAACTTTCATAACTAACAATTTATTCCATATAATACTTACTAGCAATGTATCTATAACATGTATAGATATAGAAGTATTGAAATTCCAAAACTTCTGATGTAATTTACATCATGTTTTTGCCATAGCCTTCTTTTCAAAATAAGTTACTCTTGCCTTGCCAACTACTTGCCAGTCTGTTTGCTGGTTACCTTAAGATTTACTAAGAGGATCAAAGATAACAATTTCCAATTTTAAAATATGGGCCATTAGAGTTTGAGAGATAATACATTATCAAATGTTGAGTGCTGCTGCACATAATAAATTCACAGTAAGTGGAAGTTTTTGCTATTATTGATGCCAACTAACCATAGGAGTGCAGAGGTTTTTTTTAAAGTGATCCACTTGATGACATTTAGGATACCAGTCTCATCTTGGAATTAACTGAGCTCCTTTATATTTAATTCAAGGAATAAGCTAAAATGGTTTCAACTCAATAAACTTAGGTTCAGGTACTTGATGAGTTACTCAGTATTCAGTTTCGTACTTTTGTAAGAATGTTATCCTTTGTTACTCCTCAGTATAAACCCCACATGACAACAATACCAACCTGCCCAAGTTAGCTATCAATGAATCACTGTAATACTTTTGAATTTTGTAATTCGGTCATTTAAAAACTATGGGAAGAGTCAATAAAATAAAACTCATGCTATTCTTGTACTTAAAGGATGCTAAATGCTTTCCCCCCATTCCTCTGTTTAGCTTCTCAAAGACCCTCCTTGTACTCACAAATAGAACTGTCACTAGGGTCATACTGTAACATTAACCGAAGAAGAGACCTTCACAGATGCTTTAAAAAAAAAAAAGTAATAAAGGTTCAGGCTAAATAGATCCCCTATTAAAAGAAAAATAAAAAGCAGGGGCTATAACTCAGAAGAACTAACTTCACCCTATTTACAACTATAGTGTAGACTTCCAAGAATCATAAAAATCATATTCATTCGGAAAGCAAACAAGTACTCCTAGCAATTACTCTTAGATGTGAGAAGCAATTAGATAAAACACCATCCTTCCTGACCTTACAAATAATCCTTTAAAAGGTCTAATTTTTCTTAAAATTGAAAAGTCTCTGCAATCTCTCCAAAAAGTCTATTTTAAATAAAACAAATACATTCTTACAAGTTAATGACATGTTTGTGACAGCCAACTTTCTCCAAAATATTATCAAAAATTGGATCAATATCGTATCAAAGTACTCTCCTTAAAAGAATTCTTTAACATTCATCCTAAGTTTTCTATATATGTAAAGGATTACTAGGGTGATTGATCAAGATTATCCCTAACATGTCTAAAACCAATTCCTAGTAATGGGAAAAATTAAAGGCATCCTCAAGTGTTTAATGTGTGAATCTTCTTCAGGAGTCCTTTCCCATGGCCAGATGTACAAAAAATCTTTACCCTAAAATTATAGCATTAATTGTTACAGTATTTTTTTCCAACTACAAAGAATACAAAAGTCAGATTTCCTACTGATGGGGATATAATCTTGAGGGAGCTAAGCGGCAGAGATAGCACTCTGAGAAACGTAAGAAAACATTTAAACTACACAAAATTCAAATTTTCCTGGTGCAGAATAAAAGCTAGTAAGTTACTCAAAACTTTGATAATTATGATTTGAAAAAAGCATTTAAAATGAATACTTCTGTTTCTTTTATTTACTTACATTGTAATCCAATGTGTATCATAACTGCTCCCAAACTGCTGAAAAGTACCAAACAGTTTTGGAAGAAGACGAAGTGAAATTACTACTGATCTGAAACAGCAAGAACAGGTATTTGTAGAATAAAATAATTTTGACTACTATCAATAATTCTAGCTTTTAACAGAAATTCAACTATTTGAAATCTTAAATGCAAAAAGATTTAATGAACTTTACCTATATTTCTATGCAAACATTAAAAAAAAATTTCTCAAGTATCAATTTATTATACATTGGGTCAAGAAATCCAAGTTTTAAAAATCCAACTCAAGGTTTTTAAAGTAAAATATACTACATAAATAACTGAGTATAAAAGCAAGCAAAGAGCATTTAAATGTAAATTTGTTTTTCATGAAAGTATTCTCTAAAGAGTCATTGGTGTTTCTGAGGATTTAATCAAGGAAAACAGGAACCAGCAGCTTAGTTAGGTAAATTATCTAGAGCAGGTCTTAGCTCTAAGTTTAGTGTGCACTTGATTCACCTGGGAAGATACTGTTAAAATGCAAATTCTGATTCAGTAGGTCTGGGGTAGGTTCAGGATTGCATTCCTAATAAACTCATAAGTGATAGTCAAATTGCTGGTTTGCTGGATCATATTCTGAGCAGCAATAATGTAGAAAACATTTTTCAAATTATACAAATTATCACTTTCTCACTAATTCTCACATAATATAATCTGCATCTAAATTGAGAATCACTGCATGATGAGCCATGTTAATGACTGAAGCACAAAATATACCTCAAGCATAAAGGGGCCAAAAGTTGATAGGAAACCACTCTAAAACCTCAAGTAGATCTGAGTATGTCTATCTTTTGGGGTGGGAGGGGAATGGGGTATAGAGAACATACTGACATACAAATCCCCGAAGTCCTAGTAGGCAAGGAGGTTGGCTGCAGGAGGCTTGAAAGAAGCAAAACAAACTCTAATAATGTACTGAATTTCTTTTATTTTTAAGCTCAGGTGACAATATTGCTTCATGAAAGGATTTTTGAAAAGAGAAAAAGTTGGCACCCTACCACAAATAAGTCCTCAAAAATGCCTACTCTTTTCGAGAAGGGTACCAGGGATGTTAGAATACAGGGTTGCATTGCTGGGTGGGAGGGAAACAGTGGTGGATAGAGTAGGAGAAATTAGACAAGTTCCTGTTTCTAAATAAAACCCAAAGCACTTAAGTGGGACTACAAAGCCTTGTGTGCCCTATCCCCATTCCTCCTATCAGTTCAGCTTAATTTCCTTCCCATCTTTCTTTTTGCTATTCCTTCAACACACAACAAACACATTCCTACCTTAGGGCCTTTGCTACTAGCTCTACTTGGAATATTCTTTACCTCTAAGTTATCTACCTGAAGGACTCCTTCCCTCACTTTATTAGTTTCTTCAATTATCAACAGAAAGGATGGCTCTGACAACTCTATGTTAAGTAATATCCTTCCAATGCTCTACGAACCTCTTTATTTCCCTTGATTCCTTCCCGACGTTTTTCATTGATCATCATCTGATTACCCTAAACCATCCTGATTCTTTGCTTGATTCAAAGTTTTTGTTATAACCAGAAGCTTATTACTAGGCAACCGTGTGTTGAGACCCTAACTTCACGTTGCCTTAGTAGAATGAATACACTTGTTGGTGGTCTTCACAGTTAAGGTCACATTTGGACTATTTTTTCCTAATCTTAGACTCTATATTTTAAGAAGACTGATGTGTTCTACAAAATGCTTTTCAGTCACTTTTAATTACAGTATACTTCAAAAGTTGACATGAAATGCTGTATATAATATAGTCTTTACAGAGGGAAAACAAAACCCAAAAAGTTACATAGTACCATCCATTTCTTAATTACATGAATCTTTATTTATGTAAACAAAATCCCTGACACATGCAATCATTTTACTAGATCCATTTCTTAGATCCATTAAGAAAATAAATAAATCTTTTGTATACAAAGGCAAAAAACTTCACACACAGGTTAAGTATCTATAGTGGATCACAAATGGCAAAAAACAGCACACTGGATAGGTTTCCAGAGTCTCAAATCAATTCTTGAGAAGCCACAGAATTTCAGGAGATACCTAGCATAGGATATGAACCTACCTTCTACTAAACATAAAATACTAAAGGGGCTAATTACAACCCAACCTCTACTACTTCCACCCTACTACCTGGACAGCAGTCTTAACTCACTTAATAACAGTAACTACTACACTGAAAAGTCATGGACTTTTCATTGCGAGAGCTAATGTCTACCTCATGCCCTCACTTTATGACAACATCTTGCAAACCAGTCTACTATGTGTTTCTGTGTGTAACTTTAAACTTCCTGAACTGATGAAATGATATTATGTGCTTTATAGAACAATCTACCTAAGGCTAAATGTGCACAAGACACATGCTACATATCACAGAGAGTATACAAGATATTTTTAAAAAGTGTTTACAGTGGTTTTGTATAAATGGTAGAATTATGGGCAATTTATGGAAGACTTTAATTTTCTTTTTCAGATCCCTGTGCTTCTCGAGAAATAATAAGCCCACATTACTGTTCAAAAGAAAACTAAGTTCCTTTTATAAAATAAGCTGGTCTAAGACCATAGAAAAGCAAAAACAAAAATTGCTGACAGGTCTACAAACCGCAGCAAGTGAGGAACTAGAAAGAAAATGAAAAAGCACAGAGAAAATTAAAAAGAAACACACATAAAACCTTTGTAAAGTACATAAAACAACTGACATCATCAAAAAGCAGACAACTTTTTTTTTTTGGTCAAATGTTAAGAAAATGGTAACTGAGTCCCATTTGTTTGTTTCAACATAAGAATAGCTTTCCTATTAATATTAGCACTTGTGTGCAACATTCCTTTCTTACTGTGATGGCACACTCAGGCGGCTAGGCTTGGAGAAAGGATTCTTGTGTTTAGAATAAAATCTGTCAAACTCTGATGTCACTACTGACATTCTGGGCCACACCATTCTTTACTGTGGGAGGCTGTCCACTGCATTGAGGGATGTTTAGTATTTAGTAGCATCCCTGGCCCAAAGTAGTATCTCCAAATCCCACTTATTAGTATGACAACTCAAAATACCTCCAGAAACTGATTACTGCCTAGAAAAAAAATCTTCCCTACTGAAAAACCACTGGTTTATCAGGAAACTGAAATTAATGATGTTCAAAATTAATTTTTAAAAAATTTGCATGATAATTTCAGTACATTCAGCTGGTATACACTGGATGTGTTGCATATTTCACAGGCTAAAAAATGCCACCATACTCTAAGTACCGGCACATATGACTAATTCACAGTTAAGACTAGCATAATACAGCAGCCCTCTGAGGAGTAAATTTTGAGGGCAACATTAACATCAGTACATTAGTTATGTTTACTATTATATTCAATAAACTATTCAATTTATATTCAATAAACCATTAAGTAACTATGATTAGGGTACAGGATTGCCTCCAAAAAATGAAAAACGCTTTGTCTTCAAGTAAACTTGGGTGTGAACAAATTAAAGCTTAAAAAATCCAAACTGGCAATTCTCCATTTTATACATAATTTTTCCCTTTTGTCTCTTTTAAGTTTCCCTACTTTTAAGAGAAATGCTCATTGTGAAAAAATTAGAAAATAGAAAAGCATTAAGAAGAAAAAATTAACTCTATCCTCCCAGAAATAACCATTCTACAGACTCACTTATTGCTTGCAATCTTTTTAGCAAGTGGGCCCATATCATTACATAACCTTTGAAATCAGGACTCTTAAAGGCCACAGGATATTTCATCTTTCACATAGCTTTTTTTCCCTTGCATTGACATATAACATACATGTAAAAACATACATAAATCTAAGTGACAGTTCAAAATATTAGGAGGTGAGCACAGCTGTGCAATGCACACCCACGTCAAGAAATCATCACCAGCGTTCCAGAAGCCTTGGCTGTGTCCTCTTTCCAGTCACTAACAATCCAAAAGTAACCATTATCCTGACTATTAAAACAATTTTCCTATTTTTAAACTTTATATAAATGGAGTAATAGAGATACTTCTTTGTATCTGGCTTCTCTCACTCAACATTATGTTTGTGAGATTCATTTACACTATTCTATGTAGCTGTAGTTCTTTTACTGTTACTACTACATATTATTCCATTCAACAAACAGTCCACAATTTACCTTCCTATTCTTTTTTTGGCATTTGGATAGCAGCATCAAGAATAGTTATTCTGAATAGTGCTTCTATGAACATTTTTTTTTTTGAGGTGTAATCTTTTATTTAAAAAAAAAATACTGCTGGGGGAGGGCATAGCTCGGCGGTAGAGTGCCTGCTTAGGTCCTGGGTTCAATTCCCTGCACCTCCATTAAAAAATAAATAAACCCAATTACCTCCCTGCACCAAAAGAAAAAACTGCTTAATGTTTTTTGATATTGAGTAAAGTATATTATTATAAGGTGAGAAAAACATCTCACGAAAATATAAAAATGAAAATTAAATCCTCTATGATTCCACCACCCAGAGACAGTTATAATTAATTCTTTGGGGCTTTTTCTTTTT